AAGTTAGATGGGCAATGAAATCTTTCGCTGAAACAAAGACAAGCATTAGCCTCAGCATACGAATCTGCATCAGTAGACGAATCCGCGCATCCGAAAAAGCGTAATATAGGTTTGTTTAAGAGAGTGCGCGAAGGTGCGATTGAGCTCTGAAGCGGGCCTCTCGGAATCGGAACAGATTTTGACCGGCCTCGACCCTCGGCCGACACAATGAAAAAATCCGTCCTTCTTTTGGTACAAAATGCTTCTTAAAGAGATAAAGAAGAAAAAGCAAGGCAACTTCCGTGACGAGTCAATTCGGATTGGAGTCTAGATCTTGGTGGGAAGTCCAATATCCAGTCATTTTGAGATGTAGGAAATGTCGCGCCATAAACTGAAAGGATATAATATAAGGTATATCCTATAATAGCCAAAGCAATCCATGATGTGACAAAGTGGATAGAGCTTTGAAGAAAGATAACACTGATGCTATACTATACATTGATCTTACCGCTACGCCCCTCCTTGCTTGCCTAAGAGTTCTTGCTTCAAGTTAACTTGCCTTGCTTCTTTCTTCCTTGGATGCTGTTGCATCATTAGATAGGACTTTCTTTGATCGTTCGCGCACAAGAAGTCCGTAAGGTTGAAAAGGGATTTGTTTTTAACTCTAGCTCTGACTCAACGTTGGGATTCCTCCTTTTCAAGTAGTTCTTTCAGAATCTGTTGATACGAGATTCAACCGATAGCGGATAGATTAATAAAGTGCAGTCGATGTGACACAATACAACGACAAGCGAATCTGCTCTAATCTCACGGGTAGGTACTTAACTGGAGAGAGGGATATGCGCTAGCCTATTTCGCGTTGGGAAACTCTACCGAAGTGTATGTGTTAAGGATAGAGTCATTTCACCGATACGGATAACCGACTTGAGGAGGAAGACCCCTTTCATTTTTGAAGTACCTAGGGGTACTAATACTAAACTAAGGCAAGTTGGGAAGGATGTTTTTCCATTACCAAAGAGCCACAAAGGCGGATTAATAGCCGTCGGAATCCAACAAAGCAGTGTAGGATTAGGATAAATAGCTCCTTAATCCACTAACCCAGGAAGAATGCCATCAACTCCCTCCATCCAACAGCCGGTAAGCAAGGAATATTCCCAGTCAAACTGCTATTACCTGCTCGTCTATCCTCCAGGACAATAAGTATTTTCCCATCAACAGCCAATACAAAAAATTTCCATGATAGCCGAGGAAGACTAGCTGCTAACAACCGAAAGAGGGACTGATAGGAGTTTGTTGCCGAAACCGTCTCGCTACCACAGGTTTCCCTTACCTACCGGAATGAAATACAGGAATTAGAACCAGAAACTGCCGGGATGAACAGATGGAGGTATTCACCCAATAGTAGCTACCCCACCACTGGGTATTGTTTCCCTGCAACGCAGTGGTTAAGTTCTTTCTTTCCCCGATCTACTAGCTACACAGGGATTCACCAAATAAGAGCTACACAGCTTCGTTGCCCTTATTGAATAGCCCTTGGTGCCTTAGGAATTTCGTATAGTATAGTCAAAATCATCCGCATATCCTCGATACTCTATTTACTTTTACATCTCTCGTGCCACACAAACGGAAATTACTTCACTCGGTCAAAGAGAAATACAATTCGAAATGAGCGCACCATGAAAACGTTCTAATCCAACTCTGTCTGCTCTAAAGCATCCAGGCCGTAAGCCAAGCATTGAATTCTTACCCCTTGGCTAATCCAACTCTAAACCTAAACTTCGGATTCAATCCAGCCCCAAGCCGGGGCTACCCTTTTTTTTACCTACCGGATCCAACGATTCGAGGTCTGCCCGTCCGGTGGCGGTCCCTCCCAATCGGTCATTAGGGCGGCACCCCGGTTTTCTGAGTGCCACCCGTAACAGTAATAAACAGAAAGAAAGTATTATGGTACGTCGTCCACGGGGTTTGGGAAGTGCCTTTGCTCCCTTTCCCAATCGTAGATGCGGTTACCTAATTCCAGATTGAGTTTGAACTCTCTACCCTTAAGCCTATCATCCAATTTCATCTGGTCCAGAATTTGCATGATTTGAAGCCGCTTCTGCGGGGAAGCAGTTTCTAGTTTAAGATCCTCATAAAGTTCGGCGAGGACCCTCTTTTGGGGTTTCCTTCCCTTTATTATATAAAAAACCCTCTCAATGTGTATTTTCAACCACGTCGGATCAGGGGCTTCCTCCCCCATGGCATTGGCTGTTGGTTGATCCACCTCCCCCTGTGGTTGTTGGCCGTCGCCAGGGGCCGAGGAAGTTTCCCCCTGATTAAACCACCTTTCAATCCAGGAGCCACTCCACCCGGATGAGGTTGAAGTTTCGGGAGCATCCACTCGGCGTCTTACCGAAGAAGGCCCGACGTCCTCTCTGGGATCAGAGCTCCTTGTTCTCGAAGCGGGCTCGGCTTCGCTATTTCCCTTACCCTCACCTTCGGGATGAGGTGAATTCAGAAGAGATTTCTTCCAACTTTCCGAGTCACTGTTACTCGAATCTGACCCAGATGGAAACATCCAAAGAGTCATTTCCTCGGCACTGAATAGTGCTCGAAAAGCTAATTTTATTGCCAAGGCCAGACCGCCGGAGCAGCCCAACCCTCTTAGAAAAAAGGAAAGAGCCCTCCCACCGAGAGAGAAAGCCAGCCTTTCGAGAAATCCCAAAAAAATCTCCATAGACCCTAGAAAAAGACAACTAAAATAACACAAGAGCAAGCAATAAAAAGATCGAAATTTTGACCGGGGAAAAACTTTTCTTTAAAAGATGAAAGTGGGAAACAACGTTGCAAAGCGATTCATAATCCACTTTTGTATACGCCCTCTTCACATCAGTACCTCTGTCCCGACATTTGGTTAGATAGGGGGAATGCCTACCAAAGGTAAAGGGGAGCCTTCATGCAATTCTATTGAAGGGTCACCCACGTTAGCTGGTGTCCACAGTGCCAAAGTTTCAACCAAGATCCTTTGGCTCCGTGCTGGTAGCCGGCTTTCACTCCAGATTTTAGTGACAAGAACGTCTGTCACGTGCGTCCCTAGGACTGGGCCGGATTCGAACCGACCAAGAAAAGGCAAGTCAAGTGCCATTCTTCTAGGCCAAAGACAGTCCAATCTCAATCTCATCTATGTCGAAGGGGCGGGTACGTAGTCACTCGAGCGAAGCGACAGCTAATATCATATATGCAATTATCCATCTAGATGGGGCTAGGTAGCACTAAGAACTTTAGGAAGTTTCCTGCTGTTACGCCAAATGCACATTTTTACGGGTTCATCTTCAAGCCGTGTTCTCGCGCTCAAACACAGTCTTGAAATCAGACAAATGACCCGGGAAAGACTTCACAACTACATCGTCAATATACACCACCTCTACGATGTTTACAATAAAGTAATGGAAGATGAGGTTCATTGCTCGCTGGTAGGTAACTCTAGCGTTATTCAGACCGAAGGGCATCACCTGCCAGCAGAATAGTCCGTCTGTCCAACAGCACCAGCACCCGGACAACGGAACGCTGTTTTTGCCTCGTCCTCTTTGGAGATGAAAATATGGTTATACCCTAAGTGACCGTCCATGAATGACAGAATTTTTTGCCCAGCTGCTCTGTCCACTAACAGATCAGCGATTGGCATTGGGTTCTCGTCTTTTGGTGGGGCAACATTTAGATTCCGGAAATGCATTCTTTCCCCCCGCTCTGGGCTTTTTGTTGGGGCAAAAATACGAAAGATAAGGATCTAATGCGAACCTTGACGCCCGACGGGCGATAAAGGTAAGGTAAGGGACGGAACCAATGCTGTGTGGAAAGATGCAACGAGGAAACCTCTTCCCGTCCCGGTCGAAAGCCGTGCAAAGACGTAATAGGATACTGCATCTCGTAACGGTAGAAAGAGGAAAGGCTAAGCGAAAAAGGTTAAGATTGCTTAATGAGTTATGGCCACTAGTCATTCGGATTTCTCCTTACTCATGTAAGTATTCTCACTGGGCATTTAGCTAGCCTATATCTCCGCTTTCGCTTCCGTACTCAACCGTCTCTCTCCTTAGTCCGATCCTAGCCTCTATTGATTGAGAGGGTTGAAGACTCCTTTTATGCAATTATGAATTCCACGGAACTTTCTCGATTCCAACGCACCTTATCCTTTTGGAGCTGACGTAACAAACTACGCGAGCCTCCCGACGAAGCCAACATAAATCCTATCCGAATAAAAAAAATAAAAGGCAGTTTCATTATGGTGGTATACCAGCCGCCTGTTCTGGAACTTCCAGTTCCAATCGAAGCATATATATCCGTAAATGGATTTGTATGTATAGCCACTTCAGTCGTGCTCGTTGTTTCTCGAAAGTATCTTTTTTCTGGGAACATGGTCAACCAGAAATTATTATGTTCGTTCATCCGCCGATGCAGAAAATGCTCCAGTTTTCCATTCTCATATGAGGCCGGAAAGTTTATTGGCAACAGGTCGGCACGAAGTGATTCATCATGCTCAAACATGAGGCGATCGTTCGTTAGGGACGGTTTATATATCATAAAATTCCCACAAATGGAATGAGAAGTGGGTCCATGTAAATGATCGAGACCTCGCAAACAACAACGCTCCTTCCCCATATGGAGTTCGGAACCCAAAGGCAATCGTTGAGTGAACTGTATCTTCTTTGTGTTAGTTGACCTAAGCCGCACCATTACTGCTGGGGTGGGGCTCGGCCTCCGAACCGTACGTGGGACGAGTTTCTGCCTCATACAGCTCGGGCCGAAGACCGGGGGAAGTTTAGGAGAGATGGGGAGACCCAGCAGCTGCCGGTCGGGGCGGGGATAAGCTTGTGAAGAAGCAAATCCCCCCCCAAAAAAAAACCGATCTATAGCGCTAGCGCTTCGCGTTCTTTCTATTTCATCCCATTTTTTTTCGGGATAGGCGGAAAATACTAATCTAATAAGTGAAGTAGTCGTCGTCTGACCAATTGGCTCGAACACCAGACCGCTCGTGCCCGCCCATTCTGTCTCGCCCTAAATGGAATGGCTCTCTTAGTTACGCTGCGCCCCGTTCCGAGTCCCCACGTCCGCTCTTCTCCGCCCGCAACCCAAGAAGTTGGCTTTGCCAACACAACATTAGGGCCGTCCCCTTCATTCTATGCCGACCCCGGCCCGGGGCTGGCTTTTTGGGAAGCCCGTTCCCACCGCGCTCACGGCCCGGCTGGCCTTCCAGCGGTAGTGGGAATTCTCCCGTTCCCTGGTCAAAGACTTGGTTGGATGCGGGATCTACTCCACGAGGAGCGGTACGGACGTAGATGATATCATCACGACCTCTCTTTTCGTACCGCTAGGGATGCTTAACGCCACTTCGCCAACTGGCGTTACCTGCGCTTTCGTGTCTCTCAGTGTGGTCAGCACTGGGTGTTTCCGAGCAGCGAGGCTTACACCCATTCGCATTAGTTCATCCAAAGTTCCTTACCCTTATGCACGAATTATTGAATAAGCCATCTTCCTATCAAGGTTAAGGAGTCAACTGAGCATCTCAGCGGCGGGATTGAATACCCGGATCGAATCAGAGTTCACGCCGCCCGCCCTGAACAAATAGGAGGCGTGGGCCACAGGTCGCACATAAGCCGCCGGGTCGCACGACAGAAGAACACCCAACATACAGATGCACACTCCTCCATGTGAAATATTCATCTTCATTGGAGCTTTTTGGTGGTAGTCGTGACCAACAGCCATCAGCTGTCGGCTCGTTGGCAAGGCGAGAGCTTCAAGGATTTCAGGTGGCACACCCCACACACAAGCACCACCCGACGAAGGGGGGACGGGGAAAGCTACAGGCCCAAAACCTTCGACCCTTCTTTCTAAATGGGGGTGCCCGGAGCACCTCATCTTGTCATTTCGTCGTTGCTCATTCCCGTTAGGGTTAGGCCGAAGTGTTTGGCGTTTCCTTCTCCGCGCCCGCTCACGCTTTGCTGACCTATCGCGTGGTAAAGAGAAGAGAGTACGAAAGAATAGTAAACAGAGCACACCGCAGAAAGATTCGAAATATGAGAAGTCCCCCTTGGATTCGAGAAGAAGGAAATGAAGAACGGGAACGAAACTAAATGAGGCCTTTCTAGCTCTAGTTTCGGATGAGCTTCCCCCAATTATGTCTGGTAATAGAATAGGGCGGCTTGCTCTGACTAAGACTCCCATTTTTGCTCCGTCCATAGAGCGTATGAATTTCCTGGAATGTAGATAGACCAAAAGAGGGAATGAAGGGATAAGAATAGGAATTATAGTACCATTGGAAGAAGGGGCACCTGTGGGAACATCTCTACTGACGAACCATTTCAATAGTAAGGGTGCTGCCGTGCCACGAGGCACGACCATAGAAGTAATGAAAAAGAAAAAGTTATGTAGTTGGACCATCTGCTCTATCCGTTCGAGTTTCGCTTCTCTAGAGAAGATGAGACGCTAAAAATGAAAGTGTTCGCAACGCATACCGAAAGGATACCAATGAAGCCGACCATTAATGACTAGTTCGAACACCAGGAGCGGTCTGATCAAATAAGGGAGCAGACCGCTCTTAGAAACATAAAACAAAAGCAAACTCTCATAGTTCGGAGCCCAGCTCCAACTACTTCTTCGTAAGTAAGGTGAGGTACTTCTTTCGGTTTTTTTAGGGGGTCGCCCTTCTTTTTGTTGAAGTAGCCACGACTTTGGTCGTAGTCAGTTCAAACACATAAACCCGCAGCCATGTTGATCAAAATGACTAAGTTTCATGACTTGACCAGTCACTCGCCCTCGTATTAGAAGATCATCTCACCCTGTGGTCGACATTCCATTCCCCTTAGTCGTAGGTGCTCGTTCTATTCTAAGTCATTCCACGCTAAAACCTCTAATCCACTCTTTCACCAGCTAATCCATAAGGAAGTTTACTTTGCCAACCCTACCTTCTTCTTTTTCTTTCTCTAGCTCGGACTAGCAGGTTGGCTTAATCTAAACTTACTTACTATATATATATGAAATAAAATCCCCAGGGAATTAAGGGAATGACTTTTCATCTAACCTTGCTTACTTCTAAAACCTTGCTTTGAACTTCCTTACTTGATAGCACGTGGGATTACTATATCCTTACTTACGATATAATATCCCTGGGGAGAAAAGAGGGACTCACTAGCTTACAGATTAGCTCGTGGGCTGGTTTGCTTCTTTGATACTGGTTCTACTACTACTCCGGGTTAGAGCGCTGGATTAGCGGCTTACGGATACGATACAAGACAGGGCTACAGGGTTTGCAAAGGGGTAGCTTCTTCCTATAAGGCTGGGCACGTGGGAATGACTAGCTCTTGCTACGGAACGGAGTAAGAAACTTATTCTAGCTCTATCCTATAAGGCAGGGCACTTAACTTATTCGTCAGCGCAGGGCTAGCTTTGAATCACCTTCCCTACTCCTCCAAGGCTCATAGGCTTACTTACTACTGGCTTAAAAGAGAACCTTCCCCGTGGGAGAAAGAACCTTGCTTACTCTAGCCTTTGAACTTCCCTGACCCTTTTTCATATCCCCTTGGACTGAAGCTTACTTGATTAGTTGCTTAGCTGGCTTGCTTCTCCTAGCACCAGGGTAAATCCTAAAAGGCATGGGAAAAAGAAAGATGCACAGTGACAGCCCAGGTCAAGGATATACCCGAGCCCCTCTTGAGAACACTCACTGAGTACCGAATAGAAAAGACTTGTAAATCATTCGACACACATGTGTTAAGCATATAGCCAATAGCTTCTTTTTATTAGTTACTGCCTATAAGCCCTCTGACTTAGATAGATGCAAGGGAAGAAAGAAGATCAAAGTAAGGACGCTAGGAATAATGATACCTATTACAAGTTAAAAGCCTGACTAAATGAAGGATAGATCTAACAGGCAATCAGAGTTTTATTTACCAGACTAGACTCAGTCAGGCATTTACCTAGCTATCTAAATAAAGGAATAATTCAACTACAAAGATAGCTTCTTTTCGAGACTTATTACAGCACTTATGACTCATGAGTATAGCTGGAAGCCTCACTGCCGATCGCCTGTTTCCCTATCTTCCTAAAGAAAGGTTTTTGGTAACAAAGGTATAATAATAATAGATAAATCAACATTCGCATAGAATCGAGTATCGAGTTTGCCCACCAACTTTAACATCCACTGAGACAGGACCAACCATCCTAAACTACTGCTTTCTAGTCTTCTCCACCTAAAAAGGTTGTTGGTGTCTGCTCATAGCTTCTTGTTCCTCAATCTAATTGATCGTATATATCACTCCGATCACCTATCAGTACCAGGCTTGGCATTCTCAGGTGGCTTCGCCGCAGGTACCACACCGGTTGTTTACGGCTTTTTCCATTGAGTGAGCGTCTTCGAGTTCGACCTAGTTACTCTCTCTCGGCTTTTCGAATGAAAACTCAAAGCCATAGCGAACTTTTTCAGGGCTGGGCGAATCTGGCGCTTATAGAGTACAGCGGCACCACGCGAAAAAAAAAAGTGAAACAAGGCGAAGGGAGAATGGCATATCAAACTGAAACAACGGGTAATCCAGATAAGTCCCTTTGGAGGAAGAGCAACGCTGGGAGGGAGAACTGGAATGCGGTATCTAATTTGATAGTTTGATCGAGGACATGAAGGCTAGGGTACCTTCCTAAACTGAGATTTCAATCTCAAAAGGCTTTGCAAAGCCTTTTTGGCTTCAAGGATGTCCGGGAGAAGTGGTCCAAAGGAAGAGTCTTTCGGGTCTATACCCATATCCGTTGTTCCCGTATCGGGTGTTACAGTAACCCGTGCTTCTCTCTTTCCTCGTCGAATTCAAACTTCTTTGTTATGTTAGTTAATAGGCTAGCGGATTTCATCCGCTATGATTATGATTGGTATAGGACGCGTGGGATTATTGATACATGCAATGAGGATGGCTCTCGATCTGGTGCATCATCTTTTGAGTCTAGATTGGCAGTCATAGGAACTCTCGCTTTCTCTGGCACACCAGCTTTTGAGATCGAGGAAAGCGTGCAAGCAGCAAGTCTATCTCTTTCTTTCCCGTTCCTGAAATCACAGAAGATGACATGCCAGGAGTCCTTTTTAGGGGATTGGGAAAAGTTTTTCCCGTTCTCTTTAGTTCTATTTGAACTAAGCCGAATCGCTATCTAAAGTTACAGAAAGAACAAAAGTAGTACTCTCTTTTGCCCTAATGTAAAGCCCTTTAAACCACCTACAGGTCCTATTCCGACAACACAGAAAAAGGGCTCTCTCCTTACTCAGCTCAGGATTTTCTTGACTTTGGGACTGAGCTAATATTAGAATCAAAGATGACGTGTGCAAAGCTGTATCGAACTTCGAAAGAAGTGGAATCAGTCTTCTCCGAAGAAGGATTCCTACTCGCAGGCTAACTAGTAGAACTATAAAGCCCTAAACGCCCTTCGTTACGCCCCGCTCCGCACCTTAAGGGGAGAAAGCAGGTTTTGTTGGGTTCCATTTTCATATGCTTAATAACACATGTGATTGGAGAAGTAAAGCACCTGGTTTTTGTCCTCTTATTCCGGAGGTGAGAAACCTTTTTCCCAACCTGATCTATCAGGCGTAAACTTCTTTCGTAAAGCACTGTTCAAGCGGAAGAAGGTGAGGAATCAGGCGGCGAAGAATCAGAAAGAAGGTCTCATTCCAGTTTGATTTCCATGCCTGCAGGAAAGATAGAAGATCGAGAATGCCGAACTAGCGGATGCAGAAAGCAATTGAAGGCGTTCTAGTTTGTTCAATGTAGTTTGAAGACCTACAACAAGAGGACCCCTATAAAGCCCCTAGTTGCCAAAGATCAGGAAGCTCTTTGTTATGAAGAAGCCACAAATAAATCAGAGGAAAATTCTGGTCTAAAGCATATAGGGGTTGGCCCTTTACCTTATCCTTATTACGGCACCCTATAGCTATAACATTATGCGTGTGTAGATCCTTGACAACACAGAGGAAGTTGGAATAAAGATGGCATAGCTTTGGCGGTCATCACAAAGTTGTCCAACCAATAAAATCTTTTGAGAGATGAGACAAATGCAGCCGGATTGCTCGTCATATGATGGGTAGCCTCACTGCTTAATGGGTGGTATAGTCTTTTCCTTATTGTGTGGTTTAGAAGATTCTAGTTTGGAATCGCCGCCGGGGTTTCATGGTGTAAGAATGGACTTAATTCACCTGAGAGAGTTGTGCTTTTCTTTTTGAAACTAGGGTCAGTGGTGAGAAGGCAGAGAAAGTGGTTAAAACCGTCATCGCATCGGGTGGAACCTAAAGGTTCTTCTGGTGGGATTTGGGTCCTGTGGAAGAGCAAAGATATATCAGTGGATGTCCTTCAGGATGACTCTCAGTTCGTTCATATGAAGGTGGTTCAGGAGAAGAAGAGTGAGTGCTTATTGACTGCTCTCTATGCGAAACCTATGGAGAGTCTGAAAGCCTGGCTCTGGAAGCAAGTTCTTCAGATGTCGGAAGTTTAAAGATTGAAAGCAAAATCATTGATCTTGGGTACCTAGGCTCTCAGTTTACATGGCGAGGGCAAAAGTCTCCTGGGTTCAATCGTGTGTATGAGAGCTTAGATAGAGCTCTGTTTAAGATGGAATGTCATTTTTCCCTGAAGCTGCTGTCCGGAATCCGCCTCCAGTCAAATTCGATCACCACCCTCTTCTTTTTGACCTGCAAAGTTACATCCGCCGGCATTCCAGAGACCTTTGTTCTTTGAAGCGGCTTGGTTGACTCATACTCATAAAGAAAGAGTTTGGTGAGTTTGTGAAGCAAAATTTGAACTGAGGGGCGCGTCCGCTGGTATCGTATATAAGATCACGGCTGTATTTAGTGTTTTTTTAGGAGTGATCTTTTCTTTTATAATATATACAACAGACTTATGCATTCTATGAATGCAATAAGATTGGATTGCATTACGTTACGGATCAAACAAAGAGCTGTGTTTATTTAACAACATCCGGCCAGAAGCAGTTCCACCACCTTTGTTCAGCTCCTCATCATGATTGGAGAATGAAGCTTACCGAACGATGTCTCCCAAGATTTTATGCTCAGTACCTACGACATCAGCAAGCCTTGTTCTACATGGGAAATCGTTCAAGCGAAGTCGAGGTGGATGAGGAAGACTTCTCTGAGTATGACAGAGAAGAGGAATTTCTAGCAAAGAGTTCAATCGATAGCTTGGGAAAACCCAAGCTTTGAGTGAAGTTCTAAGCTTGCCTTACTAATGTAAAATAAAATAAGTTACTTGCTTGCCTTCGCTTTTTTCTTCTGTGTGTGCTTCTCCTATTGATTAACTGACTTCATCAACAGCAGTTGATTCCGTGCCTGAACGTCCAGCTCCTTCTCAATCTCAAGCAGTAGCATTGGATGCATCCTGTAGCCAATCAACCCTTTTCAACTATCTCAAATGTGTTGATACGTGATCCCCCTAAAACTCTTGTTTGTTTTCATGCCCACTCCTGTCCACTGGTCGTTCGCGGAACACTTGCAAGATTACCCTCCACTCATGGTAAACATACCGAACTTCACTTGCTCCACAGTCAACCATTGGTTTTGCGAGATAATAGGGGGGCCAGAGATCATTCTTGTCGTTCTCAGGTTCTTATCAAGGGGTTGACCCGGGGGACTTGCCCCCTAGTTGGCTACCTTCTATTATTGAGAGCCGGATAGTAGTCGATAGCCAGCTTCTTCTGTTTACCATGTTTGTACTTCCGCTGAGAATGGCTACTGGGCAAAACCAACATGATCGATTTCGAGCATCGCTCTACGGTAATTTATTGATTGCCATTGCCCCCGCGTTTAAGGCTAAAAGTTTGAATGCGCGAGTTAGCAATTGAACTTTTTTTGGAAAGGGCACTCAAAGACTGGTCCGATGGACTCTCGTCGGGAAAGTAGGCACAAAAGCGAGATGAGCGGACAGAGAAGCAAGGAGTTCCCACTATCGAATCAAATAGGAAAGAGGCCAGCTCTCCCTACGAGTCATCAGCTAAGGGCTTCTACTTTTGCTTTC